GGGGGGGGGGGGTTGCAGTTCTTAGTTCAATGGAAGCATTTTCCTAGATCTCTAGCGGAGTGGGTGAACAAGAAACATGTGAAGGCTCCAGACTTAATCAAAAAGTTTTACCATGCTTACCCAAACAAGCCTAAGTAACATTGGATTATAACTTTGTATCTATATGGTTTTCTCTTTTTCTTTTTCAGACTGAAGATTACACCGCATCTGAATGAATCTTTTTTCTGAAGGGGCAGCATGTCAGAATCCTCGCAAATATTTAATCACGCGAATTGCTGGCTTTTTGCTTGCTTTGGTTCTGCCATTAAAAAGACATGGGGCGGGGGGGGCTGGAAGGTTATGGAAAGATGGATGGAGGAACTGACCGTCAGAGGCAGATGGGCTCTTATCAGAGACGGTGGAATGCTCAAGGTTGTACCAACGGGAGAATGTGAGAAGAATGGGGAGTTAGGGGGGTGAAGGGGAGGAGAAGGGGGGAAAAAAAGGTAAAAGCAATTTTTGGTGCATGTGGGCTCAGTCTTAGCAATGCTTTGGAACTGTACACTTATTTTTAATAAATGAACTTTCTTCTGAACCATGACTGGTTGCAAGGAGAGTTACTGGAATTGGGAGATGTGAGTGTCAGGTTGTTACAAGGATTCTATTCTCTCTCCCCTCCTTTTCAACTTCTACATGAAACTGCTGGGTGAGGCCATCTAGCCAGTTTTGGGTTTGGTATCATCAGTATACTGATGATACCCATTTATATCTTTTGACTCTGGGCCAGCCAAGTGAGGCTGTCAAGGTTCTGTCCCAGTGCCTGGAGGCTGTGTGGGTTTGGATGGGGAGGAACCATCTCCGACTCAATCCTACAAGATCAGGTGGTTGTGGGTGTTTGGACTGCTCAGATCTGGAGATATTCCAACTTTGACTTGGATGGAATTGCACTTCCCCTTTCAAGGATGGTGCGCAATTTGAGGGTCTTCCTGAACTCACAGTTCCTGCTCAATGAACAGGTGATAGCTGTGGCTAGGGAGGCTTTTGCCCAGCTTCATCTAGTGCACCAATTGTGCCCTTTCCTAGTTCAGGGGGCTCTTCAGACAGTCACTCATGCCCTGGTCACCTCATGGCTTGACTACTGCAATGTGCTCTACATGGGGCTGCTCTTGAAGACCACCTGGAAGCTTCAGCTGGTCCACAATGCAGTGGTGCAGGCAGTGATGGGCATGCCTGAGTATGCCCACATAATACCTCTGCTTTGCAAGCTGCACTGGTTGCCAGTTTGCTTCTGGGTGCAATTCAAGGTGCTGGTTGCTACCTATAAAGCCCTACATCGCATAGGACCTGGTCACTTGAGGTACTGCCTGTCTCCCATAGTATCTGCGTGACTGGTTTGATCTTGCAGGGTTGGTGTGCTCTGGGTTCCATTAATTAAACAATGGAACCTATTTGGACCCTGGTAGTGCATCTTCTCTATAGCAGCTCCTGCCCTCTGGAATGAGACTCCCCCCTGAAATTCGAACGGCTTCCACCCTAGTGGTATTTTGAAGGGCCTTAAAGACTTGCCTCTTCACCCAGGCCTTTGGAGGGGACAATAGATGCTCCTTTCTTCCTTTCTGTTCCCCTCTGGGTTTGTTTGTTTATTTGCCATAATTGTTATTTTGTCTTGTGCTGTTTTTGTGTTTTTTTATATTGTTCATTGTCTTTAAATGTTTTAACAATTGTAAACCGCCCAGAGTCACTGGGAGTTGGGCAGCATCTACATTTAATAAATTATTTTATCCTTTGCTGAGCTGTATCTAAAAGTTGAATTTTTAAGGAAACTTAACATCTTCTGTGAATAACGCAAAACTAGTAGGTGACCGGATGATCATATTTGTGTTGTTTTTTAGCAGCAAAACAAAAGCCACTTGCTGTTATTTTCTTCCAGGATGTTTTTTATCAATTTAGCAATCTAGCTCATGGTCTTGAGTTTTCCTAGTGGTCTCTCATCCATGTTCCAACTAGATCTAATTCTGCTTATGCATTTTGAGATAAGAGTCAGTTAGACACTCCCCATCTTCCCCAAAAGCGTACAAATTTCCTACATTAAATACATTAGAATTCAGATATCTACATGAATATTTCAACATATACATTATTCTTTTGATCTGCAATAATATATCCATAGTAATTATATATAATTTACTAGATCTCATGTATATTTTTGGAGGCGTTTTCTTAAAATTCTTGTTATCTACTGTTATAGAAAACATATTCTACAGAATCTATTTCACATAAACAGAAAGTAAGAAGTCTAGCCAAAAACAATGAAATATATACAGTAATTTGAAGTATAAATTCAAATCCATTCACTCCAAAAAAACAGATAAACATAAAAATATTTTGTATTTGTAATTTTGTAATTCCTTTTTTGTATTTCTATGCTTCATCGTGCTTGCTATCTTTTACCTTTATCCTTTATCCTTTATATTTTATTGATTTTATTGTAATTCCTTTGTTTGACTGTTGTGAGCTGCCCAGAGTCATTGAGAATCAGGCGACATACAAGTTTAATAAACTAT